ATAATTATGAGGTAAATAACATTTTTACTACTTAGGACTCTGTCATTTCAGCTGCAGCAAAGTTTTGCCTGTACAACAATCTCGTGTGCGAAAATGGCAAGAACCTTACTGTCATACAATTTTTACAAAAATCTGTATCATCTAGAAAAAAAAAGCTTGTAGTTCATGTTGGCAAACTAAAGGTGGTTCGCTGGACCATGTGCAATTTCGATATCGGGAATCCCACATTTTGGGGATAAAAATGTCTGACCCACATTTCGATCAAAGCGAGAAGGTCCTTTCGTAGGGCTGTACTGTGGTCTGACAAGCACTGGAAATAACATGCAAGATGCCACACTGATTCAGCCTGAATGGCTGCAACCCATACAGAAAGTATAGTAGTACATCAGGTATGCTCATGCCATGCTTCACTTGCCCCCCCCCCCCCCCCCTCTATATCTTTGAATGAGGAACAGCTACCACAATTTAAACCTGATAGCATTGAAGAGCTTGTTTTGCAGAACTTCTAATGTGGGCGTTGGCAATAGCTGTAGTGGCATCATGAATATGCGGTCGATGCTTGAGGACTTCTTCAAAGTGCTTGGTGCAAAATACCAAGCAATCAATGTGAAGTCTCGTTCAAGTTGAAGTGTCCTTGACAATTTTTGGTCATGCACGCCGGTGACAGTCGTGTCGCGGATTAATTCATCCTTTAAGTCACAGTCACACCGCTCGGCTAAAGTGTGCAGAGCTGCAATGAAGTCTGTCATTGGTTAATTTTTTGTCTTGGATGAGGAAATTCGAAGAGTGCTCTTTGATAGAATATTTTCTCTTGATGACGAAGTGACTGTCAAAAGGCTCAATTATTTGGCATACTTCTTCGCGTTGATGCCGTGAGGACGTCTTCAACTTTGTCACCCATGACGTAGAGCAGTTCAGAATCGCTCCCATTTTCACTACCAAGCACTCCATTCCTCTGCAATAAAGCTGAAGGCTTGAGGCAGTTACTTGAATGCACTGGTCATTTTGAGTTGCTTTCTGTCATGGCTAAAGTTTTTGACGAACGATTACTTGGCGATATGCGGTATCGCTGTTCAAATCTCTGACGCCATGCTCTATAATGATGCACTGTAGAATTGAATAATAAAACTAGTTTATGTCAAAAGCTCTTGGGCTAAATGACTGAGCAACGCCCTATATGCGTCGTACCACGATGTGATTCGAGCGGTTTATGCTGCCAAGTAGATCTCCGCTTCCTGGCTACTTAAAACCCTTGCAGCATGTGCCACCCGACATCCGAGCTCCTGAGCGTCCTTCTTTCCACATATCATCCGGTGCATAAAACCGTAGGGCAGCTGTGAGGCTATCCGCTGTTTGTGTCGGGCTTCAGAGATGGCACTTGTAAGCACACCCAAGCAATGAGGTGACTCCCGACACTTCAAAATAGCGCTGTTGAGTGCACAGGAGAGCCAGGATGCCTTGAAGCCATGGCTAGGTAGCACGATCCATTCTGTTGCAGTGGTTAAACTACTGAAATGAGCTTTTATTAATTCTTAAATTTTACCTAAGATCAGTCCTGAGACTAGACGGCTTCGCCAGAGCCTGCCAGTCTCTAGCAACATTGTGCGTTCACCAGAAAACCTCCCTGGAAACTTCCGGTTTGGCTTGTTCTTGCGTGGTTTTTGCCTGGTTCTTGCCGCGACTGCTTGTGCTCTGATGTTTCATGCGGAAAAAATTATTCTGATAAAGTGCTGGCAACTCGAGCACAGTTGTGCCAAGCCAGGATGCAGCCTAAATGCCCTAATTAATTTTATATGCTAGTCAAAACGTTCTGTTTTCCGACTGATGACGATAGAAAGAGCACCTGCATTGTAGTGATCACGCGAGAAAGCTGGATTCCCACTAAGAGCGCGTAGGTTTGTTCGGCACTTCATCAAAGTCAATGTAAAGCTCAGCGTAGACTGATGGCACAGAGGCGATACTCGGACGTTGGACTAGTTGAAGGCGCCCGTTTTTCGGGAACACATCATGCAGTCACTGTTGTGTTCCACTCGTGGCACATAAGTCATGTACTGATGCCTGAATTTTGCAGCAAAACGTGAAAGCTAACTCTGGCAATCCATCAAAAAGGTGTTTCTTTTATAGTTTGAGCGATATGTGCATTGTTCGAAACAACACGGGACGCTAAGTACCCGCGCTCAACATGAATCGCCGCACAATGTACGTCGTGGTGTGCACGTTTCGTTGTTGTTGCATTTGATTTTTTTTAAGCGACACCGGCTGGTGGGCTCTCATCTGTGCGAGCAAATGACTCATCGCCTGTCTTTCTGCCACTAATGAACATCGCCGCATTCTTGATAATGTATCTTTTGGGTGTGAACATGGACTGTAAATTTAGGTATGTTCAACTTGAAAGTTTGATTCATGAATAGCTTACTCATGAGTAAACCATAATAGTTCGCGTGGCCCTGCAGCCGCAGTTGACGTCATCACGTCAGTACATTTTATAATTTCTCAATCACATGGATACTTCATATCACGAGTGTTTCTGATTGCCGCTGATCTCTTTAAAAAGTGCACGGTGTGACACAGGTACAGAAGTAAGTGTCTTATCCGGAGGTTGTATGCTTAGATGAAAACACAAATATGTTCGGGGTTCAACAGGAGCAAGGTTTCCACTGGATTTCTAGTCGAAAAGATGAATTGGAACAACTTCACAATGAATCAAGCGACTCTTCTGCATGTCGACGATGTGGGTGTGCTTTGAAGACGCGGACTGAGAAAAGACAGGTGTGTGCTGTCAATTCCCGGTCCGCGTCTTCAAAGCGCATCCACATTGTTGTCATGCAGAATGAACTGGCAAAGTTAAGTTCGTTGACAAACTTCTCCTGTGGTTAATGCATTTTCTATTTGTATAGGTGCGACCACTATCAGAGTCAACACGGAGCAGGGGGCTGCGCCCATCGGAACGCCATGACGGATATTTTGTGCGGCGCCCATCAGCCACGCAAGCAGCGAGCCCCTTCATGTAGCAGCTAGACGTTGATGCAAACACATCCTAAGGAATGCACCAGAAATAACAGAGCAGCAAACTGAATCACACCACGAAAACACCGCGGGAACCATAAAAAAAGCATTGTTGGAAGTGCCGCACCGGAAGTCTGCTGGTGTAGGCCATTCGGCGCCAGAAATAACAAAACAGCAAACTGAAACACACCACGAAAACACCGCGGGAACCATTGAAAAAGCATTGTTCGAAGTGCCGCACCGGAAATCTGCTGAGGTAGGCTGTTCGGCGCGACGAACCAGTTTGTTTACAAACATCGAAACAGTCTATAAATGTTTGGAAATATAGAACTGCTGATGAGCCCATAAAGTAAGTGGACGAGGCCTGTGCTTGCTGTTCAGACATATCTTTCTTTTCACCACTTCATATGAACTGCAGGCTTGTGATCTTTATTCAAACATATGCAAATATAGAAAAATAAGATTTTATTTAAGCAAACACCTTCACTGCCTGATCAAGCACAAAGATTGACTGTTGGCGTCAGCATGAGTAATGCAAAAAATGATCACCATCATATGGTGCCATTGTTGTTTATCACTGAATCAGATGAGGTGCAGGAAGTTCGCAAATGCTCTTGAATGCTGTGTTCGGTTCAGAAAGCTTTTGTAGGGATGGGTGGGGAAGATCAAAATACATTGACTGAGAAGGAATTACTTCAGTCTCTTTTGGTGTATGCATGCTAGCTTCCTGCGTGCATCTACATTGTCATTTTAGACCTAACATTGATGAACACAGGCTAGGGAAAGCCTCACATGTCAACATACATTTGTTGCCATGACGGCACATTAGGAAACCGCATATACAGTGGAACCAGATTTATCTTGCAAGAAACTTTGTGAACCTGTGTTTAAGCTATAATGCTGACTCCAAATTTAGTACGAGAACAGGTCTGCAAAAAAAAAAAAAAAAAGAATGTCTTTTCAAGCAAGAGAAAAAAAAAGTGTTTGCATTCAGTTTATCAATGACAGCTTGGTTGTCAAGTCAGTAGCATTGAAGTTGGTCTGAAACTGTCGTAGCTCTAAAGAACTGCCATGACTCTCATTTCTTTTGTTTCAACTGATGGGCTTAGCACAAGACTCTTTTTGACTGGAGACTCTTTTTACCCGTATGCAAATGATGGGTCATGTTTGGAATGTTTGGTCTGATGCCATGATGCTTAAAGGGGCCCCGCAGCACATTTTTCAAATAACCATAGAATGGCTTCATTAAAGGAGTTTCTGCCTCATGAATCGAGCACCACTCGATGTTTTAGAGTCCTTCAATTATGAGCGTAGTTATAGATTTGTTGCAAGTTGCAATTACTTTCTCTTCTCTCGCCCTGATGAAGGCGCTGAAAGCTAAGCAGGGAGGAATGTCATGGGGAAAAGTTTTTCGCGCATGCATCACGAGTTTCCTCGAACCGTGCGACGTACTTTAGTGTGTTCGAAAGCTCGCGTGCGGGCATGTGGCAGTCTCCCGTGGCAGTTATGATACCCGCGCAGTTCACGATGATCAAATCAGCCAGTAGCTGTAAAATCAGGTATCATTTGTAAAAAGATGCGGAAACAATTTATAGTTGACTGAGAATCGTGAATTCCAGGTTGCATGCGGCGCTGCAATATTTGGTTCCTCGACAACCGATTGTGGCATTTTCTGACAGGGCTGAAAAAGTGTTGCAGCCCCCTTTATATAGTGTGAAGAGGAACTGTGTTCCTGTACTGGTGTTTGTCATGTTGAAACGTCTGTCTTTGTGCCTTTATCATTTGCTGAAGTGCAAGAGCATATTCAAGCTCGAAGTGTTCTGGATCCTGTTAAATGTGCTTTGGCCTTTAATAAGAACTGGCTTCACATAATTACTTGTGGACTTTGTGGGCAGGGAAAATGCGTGGGGTCATTTTGAAAGTGTGAGCGATAAGAGACAGGTGATGCATTGTAGTTCGTTCATATCTGCCGCCTCTTCCTTTGGCACATGCAGCTGGACAGGTTCAAGGAGCCGCCTGCATTTGGTCCCATGTGCGACCTGCTTTGGTCGGATCCACTTGAAGACTTCGGCAATGAGAAGAATGCGGAGCATTTTAGTCACAATAGCGTCCGCGGATGCTCATATTTCTATAGGTGGGCACTTTTCTTTTGGCTGCAGCTTTGGTTTTTTGGAATACATTGAAACGAGATTATATTGAACTATTTTGAAAAACAAAATGCTTGAACGTCGGTGCTTAGGAAACATTTGTGCCTGTATCGAACAGAAATGGCTGTGACATGCGATACATCAAGCCCCAAGTAGTTTGCTCTTTTCTCGAAATGGGACGTACCTGCATGCGATTAGAAAGTACCACTTACTGTCACATGCTGCCACTTCCTCGTAGTGGGGTCACTGATCACCTCTCCACGATCCCTGTAATGGTTTTCTTGAAACTCTGCCAACCGGCAAGCCTGGAGGAAAGTCGCTGGTGCACCCCACGAACACGGCCGATATTGGGGCCCAAGGAGACTAGAAGTGCCGGACGTGATTAAAGTTGTTCAGGCACTATTTGCACATTTGTCACAGTTTCTTGCGTATAACCTGTCCCTTGTATACACCACCCAGCTACAAACTGCCGAAAAAATGAAAAAAAAAAAAAAAAAGGAAAAAGTTTCTGCGCATTGCCACTGAAGTTCGCTTCTCTGCATTAGGTGAAATGATGTTATAAAGCAAACTTGCTCATGGAAATTCATACTGAAAATGTGGTAAACTATTTGTAAGTTTTGTATTTACTTGTACAATACATTGAGCTAATTTCAGTTTTTCATGTTTTTTAACTCTCCAGAATTCAATATAAGCTGGTTTTCATGCTGATGAACGTTTAAGACAGTCTTAGCTGTGTGTCTTGGAAAGAAGGGCATATAATTGTGTGAATTGGTGTGTACCACAAAGGCAGGAAAACGGTAGATGAGGAGGGAAAAAAAACATGTCGTGCTGCATGCTTACTGGAAGGTAAAAAAAGATGATTATGGGAGCTCTTACACCAAGCAATCTACTGGTCAGGGTATAAGCGAAGCATTTTGTCGCATGAGCTTTCGTCCTGCACCTGAAGCTACACAGTGGCAGGGGTAGAAGAGAGCCAGCATGGGCTGATAGCACCTCTGCAGTCGTAGCATGTTCAGTAAGGAGAGATCACCAACCTTGAGTAAGTGAGGAAGAACAGTGTGCGGATCGATAAATGTGCCAAGCTGAGATAATTGTTGTTACTAAGGGTGTTTGCAAATCATACAATGTCCTGGCCCAGTTCTTTGGCTGCACAATGTTTAGTCACAGCTGTCCCCCCCCCCTCCTGGCAAGAGTGGAGCAGTCAGTGATTGTTAATCAAAAAGGCCCCTTCTGCACTCCAGTGGAATTTGAAATGTGTGCATGAGGCTTCAAAATTGAAGGATTTCCAGGCAGGGAATTGGATGGGATGTGCGGTCATATGATCAGTTTTCGTGTTCTCCGATTAAGTTCCTGAAATATGTTCGCATTGTGTTTGCCCATATTTTGGATGGTGTTGCGAAAAAGACAGCTGAGTAATGTTATTTAAGCTGTCAAGTGAATCTATTGGGAATTGATTTGTTACTTGTTTGGAATTCATTGGAATGTAAGCTATTTGGTCAAGAAACAGTAGGATTGGGCGTGTTGGTATAACAATATAACGAGTGCTTAACAGTGCAAACAGCAGGAGGGGATAGAAGAGACGAGACAGTGCTGAACTGCCAACATTTTATTTCTTGCGGTAGTCTTCGTTTTGTACAGTCACCAGTGGCACCAGTCATGTGAAAACACAATAATAATGCATACATTCGTCACACCGCCAAACAAAGGAACAACTTTTCCTTATTGGCGAGTACGACAGAAGGGGTGCTAACACAAGTATTTTTTTAATGAACATATCGTTTCTGCCTTTTATAATCTCGCGTGTGGTGCGATCCCTGTATGTTGTAACAATAGTACATTTTGAAAACATTGGCCTGCAGCCACACGTGCTGCAGTGAACAGGCAGCCATTGACGTTGTACATATGTTCCTTCAGCCTCTCATTTATACAACGACCTGTTTGGCCGACGTAATATCTTCCGCACGATAACAGCAGCTGATACACCACATTACAGATACAATCTCTTACATTTATTTGCGTGTTTTGTAGTGCAACCGAGTGTGGGTCTGGATTGGAGGAACGAACAGTTTGCACAGGCAACTCAATTTTTGAGGGGCCATAAAGACCACCTTCACATTAACTCGCTGTGCCACTTTTTTAAAGGGACCGACAGGCGACTTTTTTTTCGATCCAGTTTTTTCTTGCGCGACAGAAAGCTTATCCTTCGTAATGATGGTAGCTGCAGTTATTAATCCCACGAACTTGTAGTCATTTTATAAGCAGTATTTTTTTATCTGAAAGGCTCTGAACACGGTAGTGCCTTTTCATATGACAACTCTGAGCATTGATAGCGATGCCGGTAGCCTTTCTGGTAGCTTATGCATGCTGTCGTTTCTCTTACTTTCCAGGATTTCCTGGAACTATGCTTAGCCATGTTTATTCTGCGCTTTACAACTATCTTTGAAAATAACAAGCTGTTACAATGAGATGGTGTGGCTCTATAGAGCTTCCCTGCATTTGTACCGCGTTGCCAAGCCAAGTAATCGAAAACAGAACTGCGCTTTCACGCAAAGGCAGTGACACTTTAATGCGTACTACTAACGCAAGCTTATACGCATACTTTTATAAAATATTATCTTTTGCTATAAAGCAGTGGTTCTCAAATGGGGGTTCGCGAAGCCACTTATGTGATCCTCGAAATCCTCAATCGCTTTTTTTACATTGTTCACTGCTATAACGAATCAAACAATATTTCAGCACTAATCAATGCATTGTGGACCATGTTCATTAACGCATGGTCATGTGACACGGTATTCATGATAGTTTGTTTTTGCCATCAGAGATGCCAGAAGTCATTTTTCGAGATTTTTCAATGAAGAAATAAAAATAAAAATGTACTTCTTACGAGAACAACAGGGTTGGTTTGAATCAATATAAGGGACAATGTTTCCGTCCGTGCAGTCATCCCATTTCATGTTCTGGGCTATTGTCGGTCCCTTTAAATTTAGAATGCACGGAGTGAAATGGCAAAACAGGCTTATTTCCACGCGATTGATACATCCAGCAAGTGTGGCCATTATTTAGGAATAGCATAAGGTCAAGGAACCTGATTTCACAATTCTCGGAAAGTTCACGGGTAAACTCAAAATGTTTGAAACCATGTCGCATCATCAGGTCTAAAACGGCAAGAGAATCAGTCTTATACGATATAACATCGATGTCCATAAAAAATTTAAAAAATAATCTACGGAGTAACATACGTACAACATGGATCATTATAAACAAGGATGGTTGTCCGTTCAGTGCAGCACGTGTGGTTGCAGGCTAATGTTTTCAGAATGTACTATTGTTGCATCATGCAAAGATTGCACCACACGCGATATTATAGAGGCAGAAAGGTTATGTTCATTAAAAGATGCTTTTGTTAGTACCCCTTTTGCTGCACTCATCAATTAGAAAAAGTTTTTCTTTTGCTTGGGGGTGTGATGTACATACGCTTTAACATTGTTTCGTGCATGACTGGTGCAACTGGTCACTGTATAAAAGCGAAAACTATCACAAGAAATTCTTGGCAATTCATTCAGCGCTGTCTCGTCTTTTCTATCCCCTCCTGTCGTTTGTGCTGCTAACCACGCTTTATCTTGTTCAAGTTCTTTTGATTTTCCTGCGTTCAGTTGCTGTTGCACAAAGCTTCCAGATTTATTTTTTGGTGTTCAATGTGTGCACACATAACATGCTGATTGCAGTGCCATACAAGTTTAATCTCCAGTGTTCATTAAAACTACGAATATACAATTATCCTGGTAGTTTGTATGTATTCTTATTTTGTTGCATCCAGGAAAGGTTGTTGACCCTCTATTGCATGGCACCCCAATTTTTATTGAGACCCATTTGATAATGTGACAGTGCCTTTGTGATTCCCATAATTGTATGCACTTAATATATTGCAGTAGTGCTGCCATCTTTGGAGCAGTATTAAAAAAAAATGCACGTGAAATGGATTTTGCACTGCATGTGAAAAGGCTGACACGCGAGGCGGAAATGTTGTAGGCCTGTGTGCTCAGAATTGGGTGCACGTTAAAGAACCCCAGGTGGTCAAAATTTCCGGAAAGCCTTCCACTACGGCGTCTCTCCTAATCATATGGTAGTTTTGGGACATTACACTCCACATATCAATCAAGGCTGACACACAAACAACCGTTGATATTCATTCTTGCAGCCTTTCTGTCGCTGCAGAAACATGAAAAAATTATTTTGGCAACTCTGTTGTGCAGGAAATAAGTGGAAATCGAAGGGCTCGTTTTCATTTATTTATTTCACGATATTGAAAGCCAGCATGGCCGAGGCAGGAGTGTGCTTACAGAATAAAGAACAGTACAGAAATAATTGATAACATTACTAGCACCACTAAGTAATACATCAGTTTTGCTAAAAAGTGATTTTTAAACAAAGAAATGAAAGACCACACCAATACAATACTCTCATAAGTTATTCAAGTGTCTCAGCGATTCAATATTGAACATGTCTGATGTTGTTCAACGGCCTCATCGAAATTGCCTGCGTGGCAAACAAACTTGGGCAAACTATTCTAATCTGAAACACTGGGTGGAAAAAATGTGTTGAACGGCATGTTTGCGAGTATTGCGCGTGGTTCTGGCTGTATTCGCTGTCAAATGTGAGAATGCCGACACGGAGCTTACAGTTTGAAGTATTATACAATATTGTGTTTTTCTTTGTTAACACAATATGAATGAGAACAATGATGATGCCAAATAATCTTAAGGGTAGGTACTTAAATAGTAACTCTAATTTAAGTGTGAAGAAAGACTCTGCTCTACCCTGCTGTCTCTGCTTGCAACAAATTATATTTCCTTCACATTTGCATAAGAGTTACTACTAATCATCATCATCAGCCTGGCTACGTTCACTGCAGGACAAAGGCCTCTCCCATGTTCCGTCAGTAAACTCGGTCCTGTGCTTGCTGCTGCCAGTTTATACCCATAAACTTCTTAATCTCATCTGCCCACCTAATTTTTTGTCTCCCCCTAACTTGCTTGCCTTCGCTGGGAATCTAGTCAGTTACCCTTAATGACCAGCTGTTGTCCTGTCTACACGCTACATGCCAGGCCCATGTCCATTTCCTCTTCTTAATTTCTACTAGGATATTCTTAACTGCAGTTTGTTCCCTGATCCACTCTGCTCTCTTTTTGTCTCCTAATGTTACACCTGTCATTTTCCTTTTCATCGCTCGCTAGTAAAATCCCCGAGACTTTCTTTGGCATCATTGTCAAGTAGCTCTTCTTAACTCTGTTTAGCAGCACTTAAATCATGGTCGCAGGTTTTCAGATGCACCGTGAAAGTCTTAGGGGCCAGCAACAGTAACTGGCATTTTTCGTTATGAGAGGTCGGACCAATTGAAGTTGATATTTAGCGTTCTAGATTTTCTTGGAAACAGACGCTCCCAACTGCTGAACGGTAGTTGGCTATTTGGGCAGAAAATTGTAGCAACGTGGTACCGTGACAGGCAAACATGTAAGCGGCTGTCGTGCATGTAGGGGGGGGGGTCACAGAGTTGTGCCTGAATGCGGGAAGCAATTGCATTGTTTTATTCCACACAAGACCCTAAGAAGACAGCTGAGATGCAGTTTTTCAACGACAGCAGCAGTGTTACACGCCAAACTGCATATTGTGATTTATTTGGCGCAAACCTCTATCTTCGGTAATAGTCACATTATGTCTCAAAATGTTTGCACATGTCCTTGTTTGTCTATCTAATGACAAGTTGAACAGATTTTTCACAAGACTTTTTCACAATTCATCAATAGAGGTTTAAAATGTGATGGTTATGTGACATTGCATGGCTTGTAGGTAGCTTGTACACACATAATTGTGAAACCCATGTGATTTACAACATGTAACAACAGCTGGGAATCAAACGGAAGGTGCAGGTCTAGTCTGCTTGTGTAGAAGGTAGTGTAGACGAGGGATGGCACAAACAAAGTGTAAAGTTTAATTTGTGTCGCGTGGCTTTACTGCTTTCCTTGAGCCAAGACTTCGAACTGGAAATATAGGAATATTGAATGCCAGGAGAAGGCTGGCATGTCATAACAGATTGGGGCAGATGTGTTCTTTGACTTTTTGCAGCTATGCAGCATGTTGCGAGTTTCTCCAGCAGAACAACCTCCTCTCTATAATTCGGGCTCATGAAGCTCAGGACGCTGGGTGAGTAACATGCTGCTTGCTAAAGTGATTTGCACAGTGGGTATCCTAAAAAATGTACGACAATTCAAACCTACTTTGGATGTCTCACATGGGTGTGTTTAGTGGTAGTATGATTTAGTGCAATGAATTGATATAGTGAAAAAAGGACTTGTGCAATGGCAAAATAGTGTATTCTGTTTTTCATGGGTCATGCTGTCCGAGGTTAAGCAGAATGAGTCTGAGGTTAAGCAGAATATTTTATCGCGTCTCCCGGATTGGCCGGGAAACTCCCGGATTTGGACTGTTTATTTCATTTGTACGGTTGTCATGAAAATCTCCTGGAAATCAAAATTTTTGTGCGTGATCCGGCCTCCTTGACAAAAAAGCAGCTCATCCGCTCCAGACTTTTCGAACCTACCCCATTTTATTATGAATAAGAGGCGTTCATCTAAACGTACAGTAGAATCTCTCTGATGCGAAACAGCGGCAGATACGAATTTGTGGTATTCCTCAGTGAAATTCCACTGTCTATTCGGCCTAAATTTGAATGTTCCGAACAGATGTCTTAATCGCGGCGAGGGATACGAACTTTAGTACGTAAATTGTCGAACGAAGGCCGAGAGCAACGTACTCGAATTTTCGGAAGTATGCATGCGACCGGGCGCACGCACTGTCTTTTACAGTGTGCGTGATTGTCATTGCCACAACTGCTGTCGACGAAACCGTGGTCGATTTTGACGCGATCAGGTATGGCGACGACGTAGCTGTCCCCAAAGTCCCGAAAGTGTGCGTGTGTCCAACACTAAACCAGTCAAAGCAACACTGCTTTCCGCAAACCCTGCAGACAAAACCGCGGCAGATGCGATCGTGTACGGCATAAAATGACTTTGTTTTGAAGGTGTGTGTGCAGTCAAGCGCACGGGGATTGAAAAAGGAACTAGCATTTGCCGCAACCGCCGCGCTCAACATCGCGGTTGTGGCGGCACGATAGCGATCTACGAGCTCCGAGGGCACGCAGCGGTAGACTAATGGTAGTAAATACGTAAAAAAAAAAGTTAGTTTCGCTGCAAGGGCAAAGCAATGAATGCGACAGCAACAACTTCGAATGTCACACTGAGAACAGCAAGCAGATAGAAACGCGCAGCGCGGTGCTCACACACAAATAACACACGAAAACAATACACACAAGACGAAAGTGAACTAACAACGTTTACCGCTCGACCTGTAACGTGCTGTTTAAACAACAAAAAAAGCGATGCTCGATACATAATCACAGGTACCGATGAGTACAAACTAACAAGTATCGCAGTTATACCTTGCTGTGTATGAAAAACGCGCTTTTTCGCAAACGGGGCCTGTACGTAGACCAAAAATACCTTTGTGGGCCTCTGCAACTAACGCAATCTCAGTGAAAGTTGAAGGCACACGATTCTCCTCACCGAAAAATAAGTGGAGGCGCAAATCCCCCCCCCTATCCGCAGGGCAAAGCACACGTCAGAGGCAAGCGCGTGTCGGCGCATTGCGACGAGCTGGGCACCGAGCGCTGGCGGCTTTTCCCTGGAGTATGTAATTATTTGAGCGTATCTATCTTCAGTTGATCCTATCTATCGTCAGTTGATCGTGCATTATTTGGAATAATACTTTCAGCCTATATTTATTTTTACGTAGTTCAACAAGATCTAGGTTGCATCTCCGTAACATCAGTGTGACTGATTCCTTCCTTTAGTATGTTGAACAAATAAAACACGCCACTAGTGTCTGTATTCTTTCTAGCTTCTTCTTAAAGGGCCACTCACCAGGTTTGACAATTTTGAGCTGATAAGCGCAATGCGTAGACGAGAGGTTCATGATCACGTCGGCCAAAATTTGCAACGCTACGCGCCGCGGAAATGGGTCAAATTTCAAGATGAAAGCTGCTCGCCCTCCCCTTTACCTGCGCACACGTAGAGAATGAGGGCATGACGTGGGCGTAGAAATGGCCCTACGTACACAGCACTGCGGTCACGTTGGTCCTCTACATAGACGACTCTTCTCTGACGTTGTCAACAGTATACCATGTGACATGGCAAAAATTATTTAACACAACATGAGTAGTTCATGTGTTTGCTGCTTTAAGGCGTGAGTAAAACTTGAAATAAATAATTAGACGCAATAAAAAATTGTGCACGTTTTTCTTACATTTTTTTCCCGTGAAATGCTACGAGATGCGGGGCTAATGTACCAGCGTTTCACATACGTTTGGGTTCCCACGGGCAGCGCATTGAGCAGACGATTGCCGTGGAACGCTCCTATGCGTTCGCGCACTCATTGTGCTCATCTACTCTACCGCGTCTAAGCCAGCGTTTTCAAAAATCCCGCATAAACAGGCAGAAGACCACAAAATAACGCTGGTCAACAAAGCAACGCCGCTCGCGTGCATGGGGCTGGGCTTGTTCGGGCACGTCATGCCAACGTCACCTTTCGGTCGGATGCCGGAGAGGGTAGGGAAGAGGTTTGGCTTGCGAAGGCTACGCGGAGGAGCGGCAAGGGTTTCGAACTCGTCTTCTTTCAACCTCGTTTCGCGCCGCTTCAAAAAACCTGTTTTCACCGCTGGTAATGAACTGATTCGAGAAATTTTTGTGGCAAAACGTTCCTCATCGAACACCCAACAACTTTCACTGCCTAACTAAAATTCGGTATGGGGCCTGGTGAGTGGCCCTTTAAGAGTAACTTGATTGGGACACCTAACAACGAATGAATATTCGTGTGCTGTCCTAATAAAGGTGGTGTATGCAATATGTTTTACGTCGCGCGATGCATCCTGCAGCTTCTTCCCCAATAAATATAACTTTTGATAAGCTTTCGTACAAACGTTATCTATATGCTCATTCTATGTAAATTTTTGCGTAATTTTTTGCCCAATTTTTTCGTTGAGTGTGCCAAGCACGTTGAATGCTGGAAAAACGTGCACAGCCATGCGCAATTCATCCCACTAAATGGCAGCTTGTAACACTCCAGAAGAGAGAACGGAACAGCACAAAACAAGGACGCTTTAGCACCGTTGCTGCCTTTCCAATATGACCCGATGACGCGCACTTTCTAATTCAGCATGTGCCGTTACACAAATGAAATAAACAAAACACATTTAACAAAATGTAGGCACACGCAATTAGCTGCTATAAGGTTCCTTGCATGAAGGTGACTCTAGCATGAAACGTACAAGTCCGCTTCACTTGGTAAGCGGTTGCTAGCAAAAATGTTGCAAAAACTGCCTTGCTTCGGCGTTATGGGAACAAGAAATTTTGTTGAAGCGAAAATTTCATTGTTGTGAAAACGAGAAATTATACCTGATCTGAGCTAGCCAAACAAAGGAAATTTTATTCCCAGAATTCAAAAAGTATTGGCTGCTTCCTATTCTTTCCCAAGAGCATCACAATGACATTCTCACCTGTGCATTGAGACGCCATGATCAAAAGCACGCTGAAACAATGGCCGCAACGGTTTTCGTGAACGAACCTAATAGTTGCATTGATACGTTAACACCAGCAACTGTCCGCCACCAAAGTGTATTCGACAACGCCAAGATGGAGGCGGGGTATCGTGCAGTGGTGACTTTTGCCTTATTTTATGCTATTCTTATCATCCTTCACTCGTGGCTGGCTGATTTTGTTGATAATGCGGATAAACTGCCACTCTGTTACCACACTGGCCAAGCACAAACACAAGAATAAGCAATGGCACAGGAGAAAGCAGCGTTTGCGGTTGCACCTAGAAGCTGTGTGAAAGAAAGCATGAATTGAGCGACCGAGTTTCAGCTTCAGATCGTCTGCGGCTCAAAAGCAAGCCAGTGGCAAAAGCTGGGCAGTCTCATTGCCATCGCTATCGAGAATGGCAGTGCTCATGATTGGTAAACAGCGGCAGTTTCTGGTGGTGCCAATGCGTGTTTTAGTCTTTGATGTCGACGTATTTTCAGGTTTTTAAAATGTATGAAAGTGATAAAGATTGTGTTTACTGCATAGCAAGAAATATCCGAGCCTGGAATTGCTTCGAAAATTTCGTTGAAGGGGCACAGCAGAAGAAAAAGGGTTCGTTGTGGCGAGAATATTTATGCATAGACTCCTATGGACTGCCGATGAAGAACCAAGAATTTTTCGTTGTAGCGGAAATTTCGTTGAAGCGGCGTTTGTTGCAGTGGAGTTCGATTTCATTCACCCATCTCCATTTACGTTTTACCAAGTACTTCTTTAATTGTACTAAATGTTAATGCTTTGCATGTTCCCGGAAGCCCACAAGGCCAGATAGTGAAAAATGCAAATGAACTACCAATTTACACGGGCTGCTTGACGACATTGGAATTACACTGACAGTCTATTGTTGGTGCTGCTGCGGAAACACCTCGTGGGCCACCGCTGCTTGCTGTTTTAACCATTTTGAAGCTGACAGCATAGTGATTAATTATTATTGGCTTCACGCTTGTGGACGTTTTCTATATTTTGCCCATGTACCATTAAGAATGGCAGTACCTTGCGAACTGAGTGTATATGCCGCATATACGACCACAGAATCCCACACACCAGCAAGGTGGTGAAGTGCTTTAAAATTGGCCGCCTTCTTGTGAAATAGGTGCACAGTAAAGCAGTACCATGTAGGATGCTGCTCTGCACTCTAGAAAAAGCTCTAGCAGTGTCGTGAAAGTCCTTGAATGCACTTCAGTTTTCCTCTTGGAAGCCTGTCGCAACCCTGATTTGAGTGTTCTGTGTCAAGCTTAGTACTGAAGTGGTTTGAGGTGAATAGAGGAGAACAAACGACAGCAGCACGTCCTTGTTTTGTGCGCTATCATCAAACTGTGCAACACCAACCAGCTCAGCAATGTACTGTTTAGACTGAAATGTGGCTGCAGAAGTTGGTTTGTGGTCTCAACCCTTGTGTTTTGCAAGTACCGCGCTATCATCAAACTGTGCAACACCAACCAGCTCAGCATTGTACTCTTAGACTGAAGTGTGGCTGCAGAAGTTGGTTTGTGGTCTCGACCCTTGTGTTTTGCAGGTACCGGATGTACAGGAAGAGTCAGACGACAGGGTTTCCGTCACTCATCACCATATTCTCGGCACCAAACTACTTGGATGTTTACAACAACAAAGGTGTGTTCACTGCAATGGTCAGATGAGCTGCTTCAGTTGCTTAATTGTGCTTTTCCTTCTTTGGTGCAGCGGCGGTGCTGAAGTACGAGAACAATGTGATGAACATTCGGCAGTTCAACTGCTCACCTCACCCCTACTGGCTGCCCAATTTTATGGACGTTTTCACCTGGTCCCTGCCATTTGTAGGCGAGAAAGGTGAGACCTTCAGATTTAATGCGGCATGTAATATTTCAGTTTAGCTTTTTGTTTTGAAAAAAAAAAAAATACTGAGGGGCTCTCATTGCATTGTGAACTGTACGTGAATCAGGAATTCTCAAGCATTCCACCACAGAACCACACCAGGTCTCAGAACTGCTTGTCAAATAGACCCTAATGTTTGTGAAACGTCAGTTGTGGTTTCAGTGCTGACTATCCAATTTCATAAACATTACATATGTACTCCCATGATACAGCAGTCTCGTCGGGTTAACGTCAATTGTAGTTAGGTGCCATGCGCTGATGTTGATTTGTGTAGCAGTGTTCAAGGTTACCAACCTCGCGAGCACCGGGGCTTCATATCAGCTTGGTGCTTCTGGTGTTGCTAATACTTATGTTCCTGTTGGTATAGTTGTGCAAGTGCAAAGAACTGGTTATGTAAACATCTGCAACTCTTCAACTTATGTCTGTGTTTGTAACATTTATAAATATATTTAGCGTTATTTCATGACTTGTTGCTCAATAAAAAATTACAACACGGTCACATTTTTTTCTACATCCTTCGCATAATGTCCATTCCCAAGGTACGTGGGATCTGCTGAATTTTTTTCTTACATTAGTCACGGCAGCTGCATTTTTGATGGAGGTCAAAATGCTTGTGACCCGTGTGCATAGGTTTAGGTGCGCATTATAGAGCGCCAGGTAGTCTAAATTTCTGGAGCTCTTCACTAGTGTCTCATAATCATATCATGGTTTCGGGGCACTAAAACCCTTACAATTACTGTTCTTACGCTGGGAGTGGGCTCACGGTTTTGGTTGTGTAGACATGGTCAAGAGCACGATGACGCCATGGCTCACTTTTTTTTTTTTTAGTGACTGAATGGGCTCGACTAAAATGGACATATTCATTAGGTCCCCACATCGAGAGTAGCTCTTCTGGTAAATGAATCAATGGTTTGGGTTTGTTGGTGTGTAATAAATGTGCTCAAGCATTTAGTCTGATAGCTTGCCACTCGACTATGTTTGTAGGGGCCTATAAGTGTGAACTGATTCCCCTCTCTCACCCTGTGCAGTGACGGAAATGTTGGTCAATGTCCTGAACATCTGCTCAGATGATGAGCTCATGACTGAAGGGGATGACACCTTTGAAGGTAGGCATGCCATGAGTGAGGTGTTCTTTGCTTGTGGAGTGAAATTGCTGTATGTATGACGTTTCAACAGTTATGAATTGATTTTTGCTTGTTGAATACTGCAGAAACTAGCTTTTCTATGTTTTCTGACCTATGGGCATATGTAAATTTTTGATAGAATGCATTTAATTTATTGGTTGAATATATGATCAACAGTTACAATAACTATAAAGCATCTTTTTACTCATTGTAGAACTAATCAGCGAGATGCTGCATGTAGTCAAGGAAATTTCAATTAAGCAAAGCCAAGTCTGGCAGAATAGTTTTCTTTGGCATTTTCGTGGTTTCTGGAGCTTGCGTGCCATCTAGGCTTCGCAGCTTTTAATAAAAAACACTGCTTATTCCCATTTCAAAGGAATTGAGAAACACGTGGTAGCTACTCGTGTCGCTACTGGGATGTATTATCTGATGTTGCGGCAATCGTCTTCTAGTAGTTACGAGGGCATGTATAAAGGTTGAAGGCAACTCTACAAAGCTCAGCTTTCTGAAATTCTATACATTCTTGACATGCACACATTCTATAAAGAATGTGTGCATTGTCAAGTTTGTAAGTCAGCTTGCATAACTACGTAAAGCCAGGCATCTTGAGAGCTTTCCAGTTTCCTAAAATATCCTAAAGTGTAGGGTGTTTCCTTGTACAGTCACGGCCACGTCAGTGTAGATTGCACGAGCAGCCTGTTTTTCACTCTGCGGGTACCTCAAACCTTGAGGTAGTGTCGAGCTCTGAAGTGGACAACCTGACAACTAGACCACGCATGCTTCTGATACACCTCTTCAGAGCCCGAAACTGCCTCCAGGTTTCGTACCACAGAGCAAAGACCAGCTCCTCCCGCGCTATAAACACACGTGGCGGCAGCTGTACATCTTAATGCCTCATTTTGGTAGAGCCACTTGAAGGGTGTGCTCATCAGCAGCACTGCAGTGATCCGAAAGCTGCGTCAAACATCTCGCGGGATTTCGAGTGTTGTTAATCCAAAAGACCAATCCTGCTACATTTTTGCTGTTCTGTGCCAGACATGGCTTTCTCATTTTTCTGCAAACGAAACCAATCTCTTGATGTGGAAATGCCTCAGTATTCGTAGATGCTAGATGCTCATTTGCCATATATGTTTTGGCATTTTGCCTTAATAAATGCTTTAATGGGCGGGGTATGGTGTTTTGCCTTAACAAAGTGCCATATATATATATATATATATATATATATATATATATTCTCATTGGTACACCTGTGGTATTGTGAAAAGTTGAGTGTACTGGTTGCATGGTTACTGCAAAGGAATGCAAGGGGGTCGTGCCTGTGTTGTCTGCTGCTGGCCTTTGAGTAGTGCTTGCCTGGGGCACCCCGGCGGTCTGGTGGGAAACCTAAGCCTACTTCTTGGGCCCAGTGACTTTTGGGCTAGCTTGTTTCAGGTTCTTTTGTGGAAAAAAATGCCGCCGGCGTGTCTCTAGCTTCTTTCTCTTTCTCTGTGCTCTTGTGGTGTGGTGGCGTTGGTCTGTGCTAAGACTTGGTGTGCATTCTACCTCTAGCCACCTATTTACTGTCCTTAGGTCTGTCCTCTGGAACCGAATCCCAGGAGGATAGTGAGTAAAAAACCATTTGTGCACGCCCGTGTGTGTGCGCGCAATAGCAAGCAGGACTGTGCCTTTCCTTTTTTTGTTCCTCTTGTCGTTTCCATGTCAGTGTGATTGTTGGCACCACCTCCAACATTGTTCAGCCAAAATAAGGAGCGAGGGACATTTGTCATGCGACACTGAAAAAAAAAAAAAAAAAAAATTTGGACATGCCCAAGTACTACGAGAAAGCTTTCGTAGCTTTTGTCGTAGTTTTTGTGCATGTGTGTTTTTTACAGTAGATGGCCACTCTATCCCTTTTGCGTACATTCATAATTTGTGATCACTTCCTGGCCCTTGCACCGACCCTTGCAAACACATTGATGATTTCACTTCATCTTAAAGAGTTGAAAGGTAGGTAGGAAGATGCTTTCAATGTATTGTGCTTGGGAAAATAGTTCTTCGAATTGATAGAGCTAATGTTATCAGATAAATCCACTCAAACTTACCTTTGTCAAAACAAAGTGGTAGAGGCCCTTGTGCTTGTATTTATTCACGTGCAGCTTAAGAACCCCAAGTGGTCAAAACTTCTGGAGCCCTCCACCCTTTCCTAATAATTTCATGGTTTCGCGATAGAAAACCTCGACAGTTATTAGTACCTTTTTCAAAATCGGATGCAGTTTTCTTTTATGTAGCTTCTTAGAAGTCGCTAATTTGCATTTGCCAGAATTCAACAATCTTATTATGTAGTCACGGCTGTTGGCACATTTTTGCCTTTCATTTATTGATTACAGCTGGAAAAATTGTTCTCGGTTTCATATTACTTCGATAGTTGCCTTAAAGGCACAGTTTTCTGTTATCCTGGAGGTAACATTTCTTTGTGTGAAAATCCTGCATCAGTTTTGACTTGAAAATGTCATTTCAAAATGGAATGGTCTTAAAAGGACCCTGCAACACTTTTTGAGCATGGTCAGAAAACACTGCCTATTGGTAGTAAAGGCTTCCGACAACACGCGAGCCAAATATTATAGTGCAGCGCGGCCTGGAATTCACAGTAAATTATCTAAATCGGCTAAAAATTGCTTTTTCTTCTCTCGACAAATCACAAATATGCCCAAAAATCACACTTTTGGAAGTAGGAAGCCAATCTATCAGCCATTGGCTCATTTGAGCATGGTGCGCTGCTTGTTACAGAAATCACCGCGGGAGGCCGCTACTTGTGTCATGCGTGCGCGCTCGATCACACTGAAAAAGTAACTTATTTGAAGAAAGAAACAGAAAAAGTGCTCAAGGTCACAAGGCGCAGGTGACGTGTTTTGTCTGCCCCTCCCATCCTTCTCTGCTTAGCTTCCAGCGCTTTCGTCGGGACGAAAGAAGAAAGCATGCAATTGCAGCACGTGACAAACCTTTGTAACTCCACTCGCACTGGATGGATTCTTGAAATTTTTGTGGCGTTGAATTTGTCAGGCAATAAGCTCTTCCAGTGAATTCAGTCCATGGTTCCTTGAAACAGTGTTTCAGGGCCCCTTGAATGGAAAGAAATAGAATATGATGTGATGTGTACTGTACAACCTCTTATTGGGACCCACTTTCATTTTCGGTATACGGAGTGTTTTTTGAGCTAGAAGAATAGATATGCCACCCCCCCTGATAGGTTTGGAAAACCTTTTTTTTTTTTTACATAGTAAAGCAGCGTCCAAAAAGTTCAAAGCAAAAGATCAAGTACACAAAACAGGCATTGGTCCTGTGTACTTATTTATAGAGAGGTTAAAAAAAGTGCAGTACTCGTGGCTTAAGCAGGAATGTGGAATCACCACCTGTGGCAAGTGGCACCAATGTCTGTGGCATTTACTGGGGTCAGCCGCACCAAAGTAGAAAAAAAAAATACACTGTGAAATCTACGACTTAGTGGCCAACTCCGGTGATTTTTTGACCATGTCAGGGCAATGGTGATGTTATGTTCTTGAGACACTCTTGTCACACTCCCAATAGCTGGAAGGCTCAACAAATGTGAAAATAAAAGCCACAATACTAAAATCAAACCTCCACTGAGTGCATTTCTCTGTACTATGTAATACTTTGCCAGAACCTGCTTAATTGTTCATGATGTTGCCAGATGGCACAACTTGTCCAGGCCATCCAAGTTTGTGCCTGCAACGATCGGCTGAAACGTTTACGCTGTTATGCTAAATACATGGCAAATCGTATGCGGCCCACAACGCAACAAACACCACTTGCCACCCATCGCATGCTGACCATCACGGAAAAGGAAATCGCACGCTCAACCAAGGAAGCACTAGCCAAACCCACGCGATCCGTATCATACAAGCAGATGCTGCAGGGACACATCAGTTTCGTCACTTCAGCTTTGCAAGAAATCAATGTCACGTACACAATGTTGCCATTAATTCTGGCAAGCGAGGTGGGCGTTTGGAGACAAGCTACAAAATTATTTCGGAAAGAATTTGTGAAACTATCAAGCCTGTCATTTGGCATGAATGGTACAAGTATGCAAATGAATGTACCCAGTGAATTTCGTTGACATCCATGAACATTTAAAAATTGCCGGAGTTGTCCTTTAACGAAGGGAGATTGCAGCATGAACTAAAAAAAATGGACCTTTGACGTTGATTTGCTTGTGTTCTAATAAACCACTCATAGTAAAGGTAACATCATTTAAAATTTTAAGAGGACAATTTCTGAATCTAAACAGATTTGTTGTTCCACTTAAGCTTGCCTATAAGATGTTAATGTGAACTAGCAAGCAGCAAAAATAGATGAGAGTGGAACACGCGTAAAAATTAAGTTTCTGTGTCACTTCAGCTCGTCTTAATCATTTGCAACAAGAAATGCAGACAAAGAAAAGTGATGTGGTGGTAAGTCGACAGTCACATTGAGATGGCATTCCTGTTCTGCATTGTGCTGCAGTTTCTTGCGGCATGCCTTATATCTAACTACTGCAATGTTGGGATGGACCGGGGTTGTTCTTTGTGGAGCTTTTTTGCAGGCACTGGTTGTCTTGGCTTCTCTTGCCTGTGCTCTTGTCATTGTTGCTTTCTCACACACACAAAAAAAAAGCTCTGCTCTACGTTTTGCTTGCTCCTGTGTATGGAGCGAGTGCTGCTTGTCTTTCGTAGGCTGCAAATCAATGAGAAAGCTCTGGTGCCTCACTTTCCGAATGGAATAAGCAGCATGCTTGTAATCTGTGGCAGAGCTCTTGAGAGAATCAAACTGAGCTCCAGCCTCACTTAGTGATGGCACCAGCTGTGCTGCAATGCTGACATGCGTAGAGGAGTAGCGTCCAACCATTTTTCATTTAGCTTATGATCCGCACCATTATTGTGTGTGCTTGCTTTCGGCACCAAGCAGTCGAGTTCTGGTAATTCACATTGATAAACTAAGAATTGATGGTTTGCATATTGCATGGGTGCCGTTTCGAATGTGGTCAATACGGAGATAAAATTGATCGTAGTCTAGTTGATGTTTACCGTATTTTCATATGCATAACCCGTCCGCATAAAATCCGCACCCCTACAAGGCAACTGAAAAAAAAAAACAAAAAAACACCTGGTGTATTGTTCGCACATTTGATACACAGAGAGGCTGCCTGAAAGCTTCTTCTATTCAAGCAACAGAGCACCTATGTAGACAGAAAAAGCTTATATTTAGCAAGTAAAATGCACTGATTGTTACTGCTCTCGCTAGAGCTCTCACTTCAGCCGCAGTCCGCACGGTTGTACACAAAGCCATCATCAGTTCTATCAGTGTGAGAAGCCGATAATCACTGGCATAACATCGTCCGCTGTTCGTTTGAAGCCGTTGCAGCAGTTTCATGAAGCAATGCAGCAGTCCGCACGGTTGTACTCAAGGCCATCATCAGTTCTATCAGTGTGAGAAGCCGATAAGCATTGGCATAACATCGTCCGCCGTTCGTTTGAAGCCGTTGCAGCAGTTTCATGAAGCAATGCAGCTGTTGTGCCGGAAGCTAGTGCGCCTGGAAGTCTGCACAAGGAAGCGAGTAGTGCGTCCCTGAAGGACAACTAACTTTTATTTCAGCTATTGTGCAGCACTACAGCTCGGTCGGGCACCGTTGCACCACTTCGCTTTCCCACACGCAACGCGATAACATTTCACTGAAAACATGGCGAAGGGTGTCTAGCTGCTGGTGTGTGATCGTGAGGTCGCCACACAGCCATCCACGGCTCACATGGCACTTATGAGGTAGCCCTAGCTCCCTCAATAGTTGCAGCGCTTCTACTTGGGTCAGCCCAGTTGATGCGGCACGACCCCTACTTCTCACTTCTTCAGTGAACTTCTCTAGCTACGCCTCCACCTCATGGTAAACGTTGGTCCTGGGGCAAAAAGACAGCGCCATGCTCGGTTTTAAGCTCTCCTTTTTCACCCACTGCTGTACTCAGGACACATCATGCAGTCTTCCCGCTTTGTGAGTAGTCTTCCCGCTTTGTGATTTTCAAATTTCTTGGTGATGGCCATTAGCTTTTGTTGTGTGGTGACTGACTGGCACCGAAGAATACTGGTGATGACAGAACAGATCGATCTACGCAGATGTCGTGATCGAGTGGTATCAGTGAGACAGAAAAAGGCTTAGCTTACTTAATGCAACTGCGTAGGGGCTTTGTGACTTAACCTTCATTGCTGTGAGGCTGCAATGATAGAAAAATCCCGCGTAGTATGTGCACCCCAATTTTGCCACTGAAATTTTCCCATTCTTGGTGCGGGTTATACGTGCGAAAATATGGTTACTGAGGTCAACTGAAGTAATGAAAGGGTGACAATATTCGACAGTGCGGGCACCCTGGCCAAGCAAGTAGATTTGGAATTGGTTTGTTTGTCTTGGTCTCTTTAGTGCATGATGTGTGAAACTTGAAATCTGAGGGCCAGTAAAATGCAACTCATCTCAGTGTGGCAAGTGCAGGCAGATCCTGGAAAACCAAGCTTGATAAAACTGTGGTTGTTGGGGCAGCATTGCTGCAAGCTGTGCACGCATTTTAATGGCGAGATTTTTGTGT